GCAAACACAGGGGAGTCTTTCAGTGGTTTCTCCTGGTATTTGCCTCCACTTTCCTCCTTGTCAATTTTGTGCATTGTCTGTGCGTTTCCTATTAAGAGAAATGATTCAGTTTTGTCACTTTCCCACTTCCCCTCCCCCATCCTTACAACATCACTGTTTTAACTTTGCAAAGTGTTGACTTCATTACAGCATAATAGTGTGAACAATATTATGCAAATAGTATTCACTAAAAAAATCAATCATGTACTTTAATGTCCTTATTTCAAAAGGTGCTTAAATTGTTTACATCTCTGAAAGTCTTTTTTTTTTTCCTTTTAATGTTTATTTATTTATCTTGAGAGAGAGAGAGAGAGAGAGAGAGAGATCGCGCGCGCGCGCGCGCGCGCGCGCACGCGTGCATGGGAAGGGGAGGGGCAGAGGGAGAGAGAATGAATCCCAAGCAGGCTCTGCACTCAGTGAGGAGCCAAAGAGGAGGCTCAGTCTCACAAAGGTGAGATCATGACTGAAATCAACAGTCAGAGGCTTAACTGACTGAGCCACCTAGGTGCCCCACATCTCTGCAAGTCTTAAAAATGCTTCCTTCTGTCCTTTGACGATGTGCAGTGTCTTCAAATTTCTAATCTAGAATATACTACATTCAGTCTGTTCCAGTGTCCAGTTGTTTTAGAACGAGAAGTCTGATGTCATCCTGATTCTGGTTCTTTGGCACATGATTTTTTTCTTTCACATTTTGGGGAGCTTTTATAATCTCTTTATCTCTGTGTTCAAAAATTGCATGATGACTGTAGTATTTCTTTGATAAATTCCTACCCTCTTTCATTTCTCCTGAAATTCCAGTTAACTAGATATGGGGCTGGATCCATTATCTACTCTTATCTTTTCTCTCTCTACATAGGGCTCTTCATCTTTTAATTGTCCTTTCTGGGATATTATCTTAACTTCATTTTTTTCATCTCCATACTGGATTTTAAAATGCTAACATTCATGGGGTGCCTGGATGGCTCATTTAGTTAAGCATCTGACTCTTGATTTTGGCTCAGGTCATGATCTGATGATTTGTGGGTTCGAGCCCCCAGTTGGGCTCCACCCTGACAGTGTGGAGCCTCCTTGGAATTCTCTGTCTCTTTCTATCCCTCCCCAGCCTCTCAAAATAAATAAATCAACTTAAAAAAAATAAAATTTTAACATTTGTATTTTTAATTTCCAAGACTGCTCTTCTATTCTATGCCTGTTCTTTCCCCATAACACCGTCTTCTTTTTTAATGGATGGAATTGCGTTTCATACTTTTCTGTGGCAACTAATGAGAGCCTTTTTGAAACTTTCTTCTGTTTCTTGTTTTCTCTGTTTCCTCCATGATTACATTTCTGTTTTGGGGTGCTCCCCTTTTCACCTTGGGGCTTTCTTTGAATACCTGGTGATATTTTTTTTTATCTGTGCATATTTCAGAGTAAGGCACAAAAAACTGGCTGAGTGGTTGAGGCTTGTGGACTGGCTGGCTTTGTTGAGGATGACCAGATGAGAAGCTCCCAGGAACCTCCAGTGCCAGTACATAGAGCTATTGTATTATGGACTATTGAGTTTCTCCAGAAACAGACCTCTGATCTCCATGGAGGGTGGGGGCTCTCCTGGCCATGCCTGTTCTATGCAGAAGTGGGGAAGGAGGAGAGCCACTACTTTGGAATGGACTCCTTAGCCTTGCATTTCTCCTCCCTTCTTATTCTACTTGGGGTCTCAGGGTCCACAGGGGTTGTACAGGGAAAGCTGGCTGTCACCAGAAAGGCCAGGGAAGAGTCTTGGGTTCAGTGCACGTTGACCCCAGCCTATGACAAACAGAGGTCAGTCTATGTTTTTCTGGGAGTGGATCAGCTGTCCTGTCCTTACCCAGGAAAGATGAAGTGTCACTGGATTTACTACTCTGTACCCAATCAGCATGGCTGTCTCTTCTCTGGTCTGTGTTGATTTGACTTGAGGGATGGAATGGTCCCCTTCTCCCCTGGGCGGGTGCCATTACCCATAAAGAATTGCCCAAGGCTCTTGCTGTGCCCTGTACATCAGGGAGAGTTGGAGAGAAGCTGTGCGTCAGCCCTCACAGATCTCATTTCTCCTCAAGGCAGAGAAATGACAGGTATTCAAACTAGTCCTCCTGGCTGCTCTTTTTCATCAAAGAACCCTCAAGGAATTCACCTGTCGGCATATTCCAAGTTTTTTCCCATGAGGCCCCAGAGCTTACTGCTGGGAATTGTCAAGGCATCTTACCCTGCACTTGTTTGTCGTGGAAAACCCCAGCTGCTGCTCCTTCCATAAGTCTCCTGATGCTCAGCCCAGCCTCCTGCACAGCTGGAGCCCCCTTAATTCATTTCTTCCATACGTTTGTGTTGAATACCCACAACCTGCCAGGCATGTTGGTGCACCTGAGGATTAAGGCAAGTCCAAGGACTGTTCTGACCCCAGGGAACAATGAGCTGGTTCTGAAACAGTAGAGGATGCAGCAGCCACATTTCTAGTGAACCAGCTGCCTTGCAATTACTTGCTGCTTAAGGGAGACCTAGGGGTAAATCCTTTTGTAATTTAAATAGTTAGCTTTTGATATAGACATCTGTCTGGGACATTTTGTTTTCCTTTGGGTTCAAATGGACTTTCAAGATAGGTTTCCAGGTTTTTTTTTTTTTTTAATTTTTAATTTTCAAATTTATATCCAAATTAGTTAGCATATAGTGCGGCAATGATTTCAAGAGTAGATTCCTTAATGCCCCTTACCCTTTTAGCCCATCCCCCCTCCTGCAACCCTTCCAGCAACCCTCTGTTTGTTCTTTATATTTAAGAGTCTCTTATGTTTTGTCCTCCTCCCAGTTTTTATGTTATTTTTGCTTCCCTCCCCTTATGTTCATCTGTTTTGTATCTTAAATTCCTCATATGAGTGAAGTCATATGATATTTGTCTTTCTCTGACTAATTTCGCTTAGCAATGTTTCCAGGTTTTATTAAGCCAAGGATGTAGGCTGCTCCAAAGATCCCCGCAGCAGTGGCCTGTGGTGCACATTGGTGGAAACTCCCTCCTGGAGTTAATAAACCTTCTAGCCTTATAAATCACAATGCTTCGTAGTACTTACTTACAAGATTGTCTTTGGATGAGGAATGCCTGAAAAGTATGCTCCTCCAGCTTTTGTAAATTCGGCTCGGTCAACCCCTCCTAGAAGCTGGGTTTGTCTCTTTAGACTGGTGGGGACTGCATCCCACAGAGATTATCCATACCTGCTGTCGGACAGGTGTTGGGCTGGTGTTAGATGCAGAGATTTCTCTGGGTAGCCGCTTCCCTAAGTGTGATCCAGGGACCCCTAGCTCCACAGAGAAGTATGAGGTGGTAAGTGTAGAGGAAGGGGTGATTCCCTGGTCAGGTGCTGGTTTCTTTCTGTAGCAGATGAGATCCTGCTGAGGCACATCTTGAATCCCCAAGAGGAGCTGGGGCACAACATTCCCCAAACTTCTTTTTCCAAGAAGAGTTTGTATGTTTGCTTTAAATCACAGTGCTATAACAGACTAGCATTTTTATGAGCATGTTCCTGATATTTCTACCAATGACACCCAGGCCTGTGCTCTCCAGAAATGGGTCTGAATTTCTATACTGGCTGCTTAGGGCAGCTATCCCGATGGAGGGTCCGGTAGTGAGGGGGTTTGTGGTCAAGCTGTACTTGTGTAGCAAGCTCACCCGTAGCTTAAAATAGCAAAATGATCTAAAGGTGCTTTTAGATGTCAGGTTTCCAGGTCAAAGTTTATCCTCATGATTGCTTTTATTCCAGAGGAGGAAGTGTAGCAGGACACTACAAAGGCCCTCCCTGGGGCCAGCATTGGCTACAGCTTAGCTAGCCTCAGGATACCCCGTGTTGGGGCAACCTTGGACAAATTCTCTCACCCTTTGCTTTCTCCCTAAGAGGGCCTGGAATAAAATGGTGTCAGTCAATCGTTCCCTGGCAGCTTAGGGACTCTCTGGTGGCTCCTAACACCCCACCTCAGTGTCAGCCTGAGCATCTCCTTTGCTTTATTTATTGATGCTTCTGTATTCAAACCAAGGGTTTTGAGGCTAAAATGTTTGGAAACTACAGGAAACACAGGCCCACTTGCTCTCTAGGCTGCTACTATGTTTGTTCTAGGGTATAGAGATTGGGTGCCTGATGCCTACATGGTCAATGCTGGAGGAGCAGGGGTGGGGGGGGGGGCACCACTGGTGGGTGTTTTCCAAAGGGCTCTGTGAGGAACTTGACCTGAAGAATGGCACTTGGCAAGTAGCCTAGGCCATTTTCCCTTACTTCTATTTTTAGGTACAAGTGGCTAGTGACTGAGGGCCCATTGTGGGGAAGGATCTGCCAATTCACCCCAAAGGCAGCTTAAACACATATTTGGGGCATCTTCAAAGTAGGAGCACCAAAAATTGGTTTTAATTTGTGGAAGCATCAAAATTTTTATCATGGCAAAAATCAGAATGACTTCACATTTATTTTTGGTTTTGCTTTCCATCATGAATTCAATGTGTCTGTAGCAAGTTTGATACCATCTGCTCCTCAGTGCTTTGGGCCTCTAAAGGTCTACCCTGGGATCCCTGGACCCCTTGTAAAGTCCAGCTTTCTGGTTCATTACCTAAAGGACCCCCTTTCTTCTAACCTTTAGTCAACTATCCAAACTCCTGCCTGCCTTGGATAGATTCTTAAAATATTTGCCTATCAGCACCCTCTCAGAGAGGAATGTTAAATGCTGCCATGATGTCAAAGGGGCCCCAAGGAGAAGGGCCTTGCCAAACCCAGCCTATCACTCATAGCCACAGCAGAGTGGGAGATAAGCAAGGCTCAGAGAGAGTCTGGTCCTCTGGGCTCCCTAAACAACCCAGGCGCTGTGGGGCGAGGCTGTTAGCTACCAAGAACAATGAAACTTCCAGATATCACTGCCCAAGTGAAAACTAGGAGTCTGTGGATTTTCTGATTCCTCGTCCTTGTCAAGCTTGCTTCAGGATGTCTGAAGCCTCCAAGGAGGGTGTGGAGACCTGGGGGCTGCTGGTGTCAGGCAAGGCCTGCTTAACAACCATGGACAAAAAGCTTAATGTGCTAAACGAGAAGGTTGACAAACTCTTGCATTTCCAGGAAGATGTCACGGAGAAATTGCAGTGTGTGTACCAAGGCATGGGCCACCTGGAGCAGGGCCTACACCGCCTGGAGGCCTCTCACATCCTGGGCCCAGGTGGGGCTGACCATACTCCTCCAGCTGACGCACAGGCTGGGTGGCCAGAGGTCCTGGAGCTGGTGAGGAATGTGCGGCAGGATGCTGCCCAGCATGGTGCCAGGCTTGAAGCCCTATTCAGGATGGTCGTGGCCGTGGACAAGGCCATAGCTTTGGTGGGGGCTGTGTTCCAGAACTCGAAGGTGATGGATTTCATCATGCAAGGGAGTGTCCCTTGGAGGAAAGGAAGCCTGGCTGATGGCTCTTCAGAGGTTGGTTCTTGCTTCCCTATCCCAGTAACCCTTCTGGCTGAAAGGGAGACCCCAGTGACTCTGGTGGGGACACTGGCCAGGCAGCTAGTCTTAGGAGCAGCAGGAGCTGTTGTTCTCTTCCTGTGCCACCTGCATGACCTGTGGATGGAGAAAGAAGAGGGTGAACCTGAGAGCTCATAGGTGGATTTTCACACAGGTCACTGACTGGCTGCTCTTCCCAGGGAAAGGAAGAGGCAGTGCCTCGGTGAGGTCTGTGGGGCCTTGGCCAGTGTCAGAACACCTAGTGGAGGGAAATGGGCCATTAGGGAGAGGAGGACAGTGAAGCTTATTGGACATTCTAGTAACTTCTTTTTGCTCCCTTTTGTCCTTCACACCTGGAGTAGGAAACAGGTGGGATCCAGCTTACCTATTAGAACCCCCTTTTAGAATCCTCACCTTCCTGTCCCCAACCTTGTGCTGTGTCCCAGAGTGGGCAGAGTGTGCAGCTGCTTGTTCGAAGATGAGTGTTGACAATGACCCCTAGGGGACACAGGCTATGAAGAAGCCGGAGCCTGGGGGTGGAGTATGGCATTTCTGGGAGGACTGTTCCCAAAGATTGCATAATCAAACCTGCTGGCTAATGGAAGTTTGGCTGGGGTGGGGGTGTTTGTGTATGTGTGAGGTGTATAGAAGCAACATTCTGTTTGGGAACAGCTAAGAGTCAGCCACTTAGCAACACTCAGACGGCCTGGAGCCACCATCTCAGATCCCTGCTGTTATCCACCAGCCTCTGGCAAGAGATAAGCTGAGGTCCACAGGAGGCTGTGCTGGACTCTGTGTCAGCAGTGAGGCTTTCAGGGGAAAGGCTGCAGGGTTTGCCTTCCTTCCTCATCTGCAGCCAGGCCAGAGCTCACCCTGCTGGCCCCTTCCTCTCCCTGCCCCTCACCTTCTTCCAGAGGATGCCCCTCTCCAGTAGCTCCTTGCTTCCTGCAGCTGTCCTGTGAGTCTGGCCTGCAGGGGAGAGGTGACCTCCCCCTTTTTCACTGATAACCAACCTCAGCTTTAAAGAAGAAAATGACTCTAATAAATGCACATGATGAAAATATTCATGTGGTAAAAAACATCATCGTGTCCCTTCTACTCCATTCCCCCATCCCCAGTCCCCAAGACTCCTCCTCGAGCAGTGATAGGTGCCAATTTCCTGCAAAACCTCACAGACGGAGTCTGTTTATAACACACCTCTTTGTTCTATTTTAACTCAAATCATTCACATTATTCTGGCCTTGATTTTTTTTTAACTTAATATATTTTAGGCATCGTTTCATATTTAAATTTTTTTTCAAAATTTATTTACTTATTTTGAGATAGAAAGAGAGAGAGCAGGGAAGGGGCAGAGAGAGAGGGAGAGAGAATCCCAAGAGGTTCTGCACTGTCAGCACAGAATCTGACATGGGGCTTGGACCCACAAACCGTGAGATCATGACCTGAACCAAAATCAAGTCAGATGCTTAACCGACTGAGCCACCCACGTGCTCTGTTTCATATTTATACATAGAAATCTTCCTCTTTCTGCAAGTTGCAAAGTTCTCCAGTTGGGAGGGTGTGTCTTAATTTGTTATCTAGCCCTGCATCATTGTTTTTTTATATTATTTCTTATTTTTAGCTATTATACATAACGATGCAGCAAATATCCATAGAAGTGTGAGCTTATGTCTACGATACACTCCTAGATGTAGCAATGCCATTTGTGTATATAAAGCAAAACTGGCCTTCAAAGGAGTTTTTCCAATTTGGTCTCCTGTCAATAGCATATGGGAATGGTTGTGGCCTCCCCTTTGGCTGACAAAGCATACCATCCAATTTGTTTATTCTTTGCCTGTGTGGGGATTGAAAACTGAGATCTTATTGTGTGTGTTTTTTTTAACATTCTGAAAAATTTTGCGAAATGCAAACTTATAGTAGAGCACTTATAGTAGAGATTAGTATCATGCACTTATAGTAGAGATTAGTATCATGCACCCTGTGAACCCACAAGGGGAGGCCGATGTTGTTGCATATATCCTCACCTACTTCCCTCTCTCTAGATTATTTTGAAGCAAATCTGAGACATTGGATCATTTCATCCAAAAAAACTAGCAGTTATATCTAGAAGATAAGGGCTCTTTTAAAAAATGTAATCACAAGGGGCGCTTGGGTGGCTCAATCATTTGAGCGTCTGACTCTTGGTTTCAGTTCAGGTCATGATCTCACAATTGTGGGATTGAGCCCTGTATCAATTTGTCAGTGCAGAGCCTGTTTGGGATTCTCTTTCTCCCTCTCTCTCTCTCCCCTGCTCATGTGTGCTCTGTCTCAAAATAAATAAATATTTTTAAAAAACAAACAAAATACTCGTAATCATGATACCATTATCATGACGAAAAAGCACATAGTAATTTAATATTACCAAAGTCAGTGTTCAAATTTTCCTAATTGTCTTATGCTTTTTTTCCCCTTACAGTTTGTTTATTTGAATCAATATTTAAATAAGACAACTGGTTATATGCCTCTCAAAGCTAATTCTTTTTCTTTAATTCATAAAAAAATTAAAACTTTTCATTATGGAAAATTTCAAATGTAGCCAGAAATAGATAGAATAGCATATATCATTGTAGTTTTAATTTGTATTTGCTATATTTTTCTGTGAACTGCTCATGTTCTTTTCCCACTTTTCTATTTCATTTTTTTGTACTTATTGATTTGTAAGAGCTCTTCATATATTAGTGAAATTAGCTGTATATTATATGTGTTGCAGGCATTTCTGAATGGGGAAATCATAGAACATTTTCTTTTCTGAGTTCTTGCAACATTTCTTCTTGTCTGTTCTGGTCAACTGGCATGTGATTGATCTCTTTTCTGGTCTTTGTGTTTAATACAGCTATCAGTAACCATCTATAGGTTTGGGTCTAGCACCCCAATCAGACTGTCAGTTCCTATTTGATCCATGACAAGAGGCCTCTACTTCCCTCTGTGTACTGTGGCCAGAGCGGGTCTCGTAGGAGGTGTCAGAGAATGGGTAATGAACTGAGACAGACGCCTAGCTATTTAACATATTGTTGGTGTTGAAAAGAGACTTTCTGGAGATCCTGTTCATGTTTCCTTAAGAGGGTAGGGGCATAGTAATGATTTATGGGATTGAATTAAATCCTAGCATTGGCTCCTAAATTTGAAAATTGTGCCGGGACTATGGAATTTAAGAAACAAATGAGCAAAGGAAGAAAAAGAGAGAGAGAGAGAGAGAGAGAGAGACAAACCAAGAAGTGGACTCTTAATTACAGAGAACAAACTGATGGTTACCAGAGGGGAAGGTGGCAGGGGGGACAGGAGAAATAGGTGATGGGGATTAAGGAGCGCACTTTGCCATGAGCACTGGGGATTGTATGGAAGTGTTGAATCACTGTATTGTACACCTGAGACTAATGTAACACTGTAGTTAACTGTATGTTAACTATATTGGAATTAAAACATTTTTAAATGTCCAAAAAAAGAAAGAAAGAAAAAAGAAAATTGTGCCAGGACGTCACAAAGTTCCTCCTTGGGTTTTCTGAAGTGCCCAGTGGTACTTCAGTTTGGTTGTAAAAATGAATTAGAGTATTTCTAGAAGTCAGGTGCTCTTTCATGAAGGACAGGGCCAGGCTCAGCCAGGGGTGGGCCCAAATCATAGGCAAACTGTTCAGAAGACACCAGTCCTCTAGAATGGTGTTTAGGGTCTCTTCTCCTTCCTCTGGATGAACTGGAACCAAAAGGTTGAGTCCTGAAGACACGACTCAGCTGTGTGTGTGTGTGTGTGTGTTTGCATGTTTAGGTGCGTGTGTACGGCCTACACCAAGAGTGGAAAGAGGCAGAGGACACTCTGAGCCCATCAAGGTCTGCCAAAGGAGAGTTTGTTTGAGTGCCTCTCCGCCGGGGTGAAACAGGAGGCATCCCGTGATAATGCTTCCTGTTCCCCCAGCTACGGGGGTGGAAGGACAGAGTCTGCAGGAGGCCAACGTAGAGGTCTCTGCTGAGTAGGGGGCCCTGGTCACATTGATGTGCTGGTGCTAATCATAATAACAGCAGCTGACATTTATTTATTAGGTGCCTAGCACACGCCAGGGGTGGGGCTGGGTGTTCCCATGTGTTGTTACCTTCAAGAAGACAAAGCTTGGTGTGCTGGGATCCCAAAGGGATGAGCACGTAGTAGGATTGAATAAAGCAGGTACAGTGTAGGAAAAACAGTGGAACCAACCCTCATCCTTAGTGCCAGGGAGACTTTCTGGAGAGGTGAGGACTGTGGTGCCCCAGTTAGAGGGAACTGCTCCAGCTGATTTTTGCCATGTGGCCCTAAAGTTGCCAGATCTTCAGTTTTTTTTTTTTTTTT